AGATAATAATGCTTTGGATGTGTTTTTTTATTTTGAGCTCTTGCTGGTGCCACCACCTCGTGTATATGAACAACAAATTGAACTGTATTAAAATGGCTTTGCATAGAACATTTTGTTGGAGGTTTTAAAGGACTTTCCAAAAGAGACTTCAAAGGTCTTTATAAATGAGGTTTACCAAAATTACCTTGTAAAACAGCATTTTCCCTATTCTAATTCACTGCTTTTTCCATAGTGCCTCTTATCTTGATTCACAGTTAGTCAGTAATTATAAGACACAAAATAACAGACTGGCAAGTGATGTAGTGTGACCAGTGCTCATTGAGTTTATAATAATCTATTTTGTTGAAACTAACAATGACTTCTCATGTTGCATTAACTTTTTAGGTGTTTGAGACAAGCTTCACCTTGTTTTTATGTATATAATTAAATGTGGACAGTAGGGCTTTCTGTCAGAGAAAAGGTCCTCCCACAATATCTGCATGGAAAATTTCATAGAGGTCTCAAGAACAGACAGAAAATCGGCAATTGTGAAACAACGTGAATCCTAAAGTTTATGGGGGGAGCTTATCAATGAGTATAAATATATGGTGGCGGTGGTGGTAGAGATTGAACCAGACTCTTCAGCATTGCCCAGTGATATGTCAGGAAGCAGTGGGCACTGATTGAAATGCAGGAAAGTCCATTTATATGTAAGAAAAAGGTTTTTCACTGGATGAGATTATCCAGCAAGATTATGGAGTCTCCATTTGTGGGAATGGTCAAAATCCGATCAGGCATGGCCCTGAGCAACCTGCTCAAGGTGGACTAGACAATTTCTGGAGGTGTCTTCTGACCTCTGTGATTAGTGGCTTCCAGGGTGATCACCTCTTGGCAGGATAAACGTTTTAAGAGCTGAGAGTTTGGTAGCCTGGTTTATTTATCTCAGAATGTGGAATCACTCCAGAAGGAATTAGTCTCCAGTAATCATGAGAATATGCATGACTCCTTCAGTGTTCATAATGGAAGGAAAACACGTAACTAGCCAGGGAGATAGCACGTTATAATGCTTAGATCAGCTGCTAAATTACAATTGAAATGCTTCCTTTTGAAGTTGCTTTTTTCTGTGACTTGAGATAAATTTTCTTTCTGGTGGCAATAACTTGGTGTTCCAGCACACATCACTGAGAGAACAGAAGGCACACTCCTGAAGGTGCCATCACTACATGGTGCTGACATAGGAGCAGTACCATGGGCAGAGCATTTGGTCTGTTTTCCGTGTGTGGAGGATCCCAAACAGTCTCTCCCCTTCCACCAAGAGTGTTATGAGGTGGGAAAGAGAGCAAAGGGAAAGAATGAGGTGCGATTTTCACCAAAAACACTGAAATAAGGGAAACCCATCTGGAGACATTTTCCTAGTAAAAGGAATAGTCCTGAAGTTTTGTCAAAGAGTCTATATTTTAACAGGTCTTCACTTTAACCGGGTCTTCAGGAGGACTTTTTCATTTAGTTTCATTACTATTTTATTGCAAAAGTGGGTCATTTCACACTGTCGTGCACAGAGCTTAACAGGATTCATTCCCATAGTAAAGGAGAAGGAGTCAACATTTTGGAACCATAACAGCACCTTCATCTCTGAGAGCCTTTAGTTAAGCTTTTCAGATCATCTAATAGAAACCTTTCCCTCTGGAAATGACCTTCTGTGTGGTCTAAGAGAGGTTGCTGCTTCTAGAGAAAAATGTGTCTTTCATACTAAGACAAGAATTGGTCTATTGGGTGGTTTTCTTCTTCCATAACTGAATTAGGATATGGAATTATTGATCATGAGAACGTGAAATTGCATTTCTTTGTTTTAAAGGAGGTAAATTATGATATAAGGTGTACCTTAGGTGGCTCTCTGTTACTGTGGGTGGTTGTTTGCTTTTGTGATATCCTGGAATTAGAAAAACGGTACTTCAGAAGTAGAGAGCACCACCATTAAAAATTATGTGGTCACCTGTGCTCTACATTTAAATGTAACAGATGTGACCTTGAGTAATATCATCCTCATCTAAACTGCAGTGATCTGATCTAAACTCAACATGAAAGGTGGTGTTTATGTTACTATTTGCAGCTGGACAAAGGTGATAAACCTATCCCATGCAAAGAGTTCCCTTAGTGGTTTGGTACGGCTTTTGATTTGCTTCATTTGAAAAAATAATGGTGGTGTGATTGATGTTGTATTTTTCTAGTACTGCTGATTGTTATTTTTGAAGCTGTAGAGGAATCTCCATCCTGAACTTGCTGAAGGAACTTGGGAAGATGATAAGTTCAGTCTTTTAGGCATTGTGTCTTTGTAATCCTGATGGACAGTCGAGATCCATGGCAGAGGTTCCTAACAGACAGCAAACAAACTTTGAAGCTCTTATTTGAAATTCGACTGGCAAGTCTTTGTCGTTACTAATGGTCCTGGCAGTTTCACTTGCCATCTGTTTTCCTGCTACAGATAACATTAAGCTGCATGCTTTCTTTCTTTCTTGTGCAACCCCAACTGTTCTTGTGCACAGTTTTATTTGATTGTTAGCTGAAGCTGTTCCTTAATGATTGGGAGAAGCAGAAATTAAATTATATTTTGGATTAAACAGGAGAGCAGGAGGCTGGAGGCTTAGGTCCTTAGAGCTGATATGTTAGATCAAGTGCACAGTAACAGCTTTAAAACTTGCATCATGTACACTATTTAGCTATTTCAGTCATAGCTGGTAGGGATTGATGCTACTTCTCATAAGAGTAAATAGGCATAAATACCCTTAAAAATTTATTTAGAAGCTAGGCTAAATAAAAACTGAAGGTCAGGTCATCTGAGGAGCTCAAGTGTTTTGATAAGCTGAGGCAGAACTGTAATTGGGCCTAGTTTTTCTGATAATTTCATACTTGAAAAATTACCTTTCATTTTCACCTTCAAAAATTACCTTTTACTTGAAAAATTACCTTTCAATTACCTTTTGAAAACCCCAAATTATTGGCAGTTCTGGGAGACAAAGGTACCTATTAGATACCTAAATAAAGGTATTTGCAACCTTATTTTTTGGCGTCCCTTGACTCTTTGGAATTTGTCTGTGTTACCTATACCATAGAGCAGTGCAGGATGTTGACTCAGAGCAGGCACACCCATGGAGGGTACTTGGCAGAATAGTTATTAGGTATTGACTCCACATGGACTGTACTGTTTACCTCTAAAGGAAAAAACTTATCTGGTCCCACTGAGAAGCAGTGGGACCAGATATCTTCATATTTGACCTTCTGAAGTCTGAAATAAGAGCTAGAGAGAAGAATCCATGTTATGGAAATAAATTCTGCACATCATAGACTTTGATGATAAGGGTAAAAAATACATGTACCCGCATATGCATCAGAAAAGGTGACTGATCCAAGGAAGAACAGGATTACTATCTGGCAGATAAAGTCACAATCTGGGGAGGTGCAGAAAATGAGGAACAGAGCATTATGACTATGGTCACCTGGTTAAACCACAGAGGGAGCCAATACATGGCAAATGGTGAACTTGTGTATTATACTCTATTTTGTGTTAAACTTGCAGAGGTGATTTTCAGGTTTAGCTTCTCTTACCCTCATTTTGTCTGTATCCTAAATTTAATTTAGCACCATTATCCTTTAAATTGTAGACTTTGAAGAATTACCTCATTAGTCTGGTTTGTGACTTACTTAATTTTGTATTTCTGTCTACTCTACCAGCCTGCAGGTGGTTTTTTTAAGTGAATTTCTTCCTGAGTGTCTGTAATTGTGTTTTAGTGCATTTCTGTCTAGACTGACAGCTGGTATAAATCAGCATGATCACAATAGTTCCACTGAGATACTCTGCCTGTTTTCATATAAATTTTCTTACAGTTCAGGATGAACTCCAGCACTTTTTGCTCTGCCAGAACTCATGTTTCTTCTCTGTGAACTTCTGTAGGAATAGCTACAATGGGGATTGGCCCAACTGAAATGTGGGTTTTTTTCCTTTGTGCTTGTTTCAGATGGTATATAGTATCTATAGTTCTAGGATAATAATAATTTTACTTTAATAATCTTACTCAGCAAGTTATTCCTTACTCCATTGCAATCCCATTAATTCTAAGAGGCTCTTATTAAAATTGCTTTATAAAATAGAAGTGCTTCTGTAATAAAGAAAAAAATGAAAGAGGCTGGGTGACAGGTATTATATTATACCATGTATCATATACTAATAGTGTATAGAATAACGTGCTGGTTGACATAGGAAAGAATGTAGAGGTATGACCCATTAAAGGAAAAAAGCAATCCCCAGTACAATTGGATTCTGAAAGTGAAGGAAAAAACCAGCATGCAGTAATCTAAGTCATAATAGTTTTCCCTTTTTTGGCCACTTTGCAATGTATTTTGAAAAAGCTAAAACTTTAAAATAAAGATTTATGAGGGTGTGGATGTGTCTATAATATTAAAAAAATAGATAATTGAATTATGATTTCATTTGCGTGTCTTGGTACTATCCAATTCTGGCCTGCAGGCACTTTTGCATACGTGTGACTGTATTGCCCCAAGCAGTTAAACAGGAATTAACGTGATAACTTAATGCGATGCTTAAACAGTTTGCATAGAACTTTGTTTCCCAGATCAGTTTCTTAAGGCACAAAAAAACTTGCTTTGGTTTGCTTCCTGTCTTGACCAAAGCATTTTCTGTGAGATTAAAATATTTTCCAAAGATATTCAGCAAGTTGTTGTTGGTAGTGTTCTTCTGTTAGGATTGACTTCATAGTCTGTCCATGGCAAGAGAGAAATAGAATCTCAGCTATTCAAAGAGATGATAGTAGTCATTCCCACAGATACCCCTGTGGAACATGGAGAAGATCCCTCTGGAACTAATGTCCTCTAGCTCTTCACAACCCCTGGCAAGCCCACAAACAAAGTACAAGCCAAGAAATCTCGACAGGGAGGAAAGATGCACTTTGGCATAGGTGGGGAAGCAAGCAGTTACTGTCACTTTTCTTTCTCTATTTTAAATGTAGAATGAAGAAGGTTTCCTACAGGAGGGAATGGTGAATAATTCAGATGTTCCTGTGGATCCTGAGAATGAGGCTTACGAAATGCCTCCAGAGGTAAACCTGTTGTGGTGTTTGCAGTGAATGCACGTGAGAGAAGGGCACGGGAGGAGGCTGCCTGCATGAGTTATGTGAGCCCGGCACACACTGATGCTGTGAGCTGCAAGGGCACAACAGAACTGTGGTCTCTTTGGCCAAGGTCTGCCAGAGGTGTAGTGCTGGGAATCAGAAAATTAATTGCTATTTTTGTTAGTAAGGGAGATAAATGGGAAAATACCGTGTGTGTTTCAAAACACTTGATCTTGGGTTTCTGAATAACGCACAGTAACCTTGTATCTTTTTTGTATGTTTAAAAGGGAATGCAGGACAAACTGCATCTTGATAGATTGTTTTAATAGCTTGGCCACTTACCAGTCCATCATGCTTTGTAAAACATGAAAGTTAATGCAATTATGGGAGTAAATTATTTTGTTGTTTTTTATGAACCAGCTATCTAAAATATTACTACAATATCTGGCATGATGCATGAGTAGTTGGAGTAGCAGTTTTACGGTAGCGCAGATAATTAGACTTAAAATGAGAGGTATAAAAAATTTAGGCCATGATCCAGTAAAAGACTTAAAGGCACATTTGAGCATAACATCTTGAATATCAGTGAAATTTTGGATGCTGCTCATATGTCTGTAGATAAAGACTCCTTTAAATGATTGAGCGACTTGTATGAGGATCCGCAGCACCTGGTGTGCTGTTCAGCTCAGAGGTTGTTCTCCTCCCTCTGCAAGTGAATTTTCATGGGTGGCCTCATGAGTTCCTGGCAACATCAGCTGAATTACGTGTAAGTCACTGTAAAAGTGAGAATTAGTTCTCTTCTAAGTACCATATCTTGTAAGGTACAGGATCTGGAAAATGTGACAAAATACAAATAAATGTCAAGATCCTGAGGAAATGAGAATCCATAATATTTTGGCATTGAATCCACCAGGACTAGAATAAACAGTGAAAGTAGGATGTATTTATCTAAAATGCTAGTAGTGCTGATTTCTGCTCTCCCCATTAGGAAGAGTATCAAGACTATGAACCTGAAGCATGAGAGTCCTTTTCTTCCTTTTGTCACCTGAAATCTACTAACTACTAAAGACGTCCCATCCTGTACAAGTGCTGAGTTCCAATGTGCCCAGTCGTAAAATTTTTTTACAGTTTTTACGGTGTATTTTGAAGTCTTCCATCAGCAATGATTGGAGTATCTGTGACCGCATCCACCTTGTTTCAGCATTTCCCTCCTGCTGAAATGAAAACGGTTGGCAGGGTCATTGTTGTGCTGTGGATATTGTGGCTTCAAGTTTAAAAGTTAAAAAAGAAAATCTTAAGTAAAAACACCTAAGTGTCTAATGCTTATTTCTAATTCTGTACATGTTTTGTTGATAGGCTGTCAGTAATTTGATATTGTTTATGATACAGTTTTTATTTGTTTCCTATGACTATTCTTTCTGTGCAGAGATGACTTATTGTGAGAGCTTTATATATATGTGTATGTATTATACATATAAAAAAAAAGTAATTGAGCATGAACTATGCACCTATAAATATTAGCTGTTGAAATTTTATTGTTTTGTGATGTGTTTTATTAACTTGTGTCTGTAAATAATGGTGTTCAACTGAAGCAAATAAAACATAACCCATTAAAAACCAATTTCTAAATTTGTGATGATTCCTAACACCACCTTTCCCTTCCAAAAGGCCCTGTTAAAGCCTTCAGACTTGTTGCTTCTTGTAAAGGAACTGGAAGAACAAAACCAGCAAATGGCAGCCCAGTCTGTGCAAAAAAACAGGGTGAAAAATGAGAGCATCAGGGCTGCTGCCTCAGCTGGAGTAAATTGTTGACCAAATAGATTAATTTGTAGGGCTAATAAACTTTCTGTTGTAAGGACAACCTGAAAGTGAATGAAGTCATTAATAACGGGCTGCAGCAGATTATCAGGAAATCATGAGGCCTTTGAAGAATTACTGTTTTGAGGTTGTTAAAGTGCTGGGGTATACAGTGATGGATTAGTTGCAGTGAATTTGTCTTGTATAAAGTTCCAGTTAGGAAAAGTACAGTCTACTGTCTGTTTTTAGACAGATTAATTTTCAGTTATTATGTTGCCTGGGCATTTTTCCATATAGTAAAAAGATTTAAATGTGAAATGTTTTTACTTTTATCATGTTTTATTATTTGTTATTTTGGAACTAATGTTGCCTCTAACCTGAAGTAGTTTTGTATTTTAGGTTCATTAGTCTTGAGTAGGATTTTGAACTTCCCTTACAGCTAGTCTTCAGTGTTCTGGTTAACAGGTAAGTATCATTGTCTGGTTTTGTAAATGAGAAACTTAGGCACAACCACATAGTGCATATCACTGGTATTGCACAAAAAGAGGACCAAAGCCCTGGAGGCTGAACTCTCCAACTTGTTCTTGAATTGAGTTCCTTTCTGGCTTTCTGCAACCTCCCCGCTATTAGCATGCCCAATCTTTCCAAGTATGAACCTATCCCAACTGTATACAGTATACAGTGAGAGTTGATGGTGTAATACTATGGGCTAAAATCACATGGACACGCTGGTTTCACCATGCTTAGAAAACCAGTGCTTCAATTTCCCATGTCACCCCCCAGTCCCAACCCTGTATTTCTAAGGAATTTCATTTATTTCAGAAGAATTGCTGTATCTTTTTCAAAGCAATTAAAATTCCCCTTGATCATTTCAAACAACTTGCAGGCATTTTCATCAATAGTTTAGTTGCTTCATGGAGCCTAAAGTCCTGTGCTCTTTAGCAAAAATCTTTCATGCTAGCCTGCAACAACCCACTAACAGTTTTCAGTCTCCTTCAGAAGTGGTGCGTCAAAAGAATTTCTTGATTTGGATGCCTCTACTGTTAAAAATCAATGCCTCAGTGACAAATCTATTGATTGTATCCCTGGAAAATCAGGACAGGACAAGTAAGATAATGCTTTTATAATTATTAATGTTGTTTTAGGAATCTTTCTATTCTAGGAGAAGGATTTGGGAAGAAAAGCCCAGTGCTGTAGTGTGATTTTTTCCCCAGCATAGCAGCAGGGACTCATCCATTAAAAGCAACAACTGAAACCAGTCTCATGCTTAATACTTCAGAAAATAGCACTGGAAATAGTAGCCTAAGTAGAATATGTATTTCTGTTGTTCGTCTTCTCTTCCACAGCCCTCCAGGTCTTAATTGCTCTATTCTCTGTTAGGGAATCAAATTAAACTGGTTGCTCACATGATGCAAATAAGTCATGCATTTTTTAAATAAGCTATGGGGAGCAGTATGCCATAAAGAACAGCAACAAGAATAAATCTGCTCCTGAGACTGGTCCATTGTCTGAAAATGTAAGAGTTAATTAATTTTTTTCGTTGGTTAACATCAGATCATTTAGAGGTTTTAGGTCATTTAAAATGTACCATAAGCGATCAGTTTAGTTCTTGTGCCTCTTGCAAACGTGCCCTCAGATGGCCCCAAAAGTCCATGGGACCCCTGGTTACTATGGCAGCACATTGTGGTGCATTGTTCTGGTAAAATGCTGCATTTTAATTAGATTCCTGTAAGGGCTGTCAGACCATCCTTTCCAGGTAAACTAAGTGCCATTTTGTCTTACTTTCTGCAGTGATTTTGTCTTACTTTTTGAGATGAATTCTGACATGTGGATTGCAAATGTCAGAACTGTGTTGGCTGCTAAAGCTGAACTAAATAGATACTGCTGCATTCGGATTTTTTGAAGTGTCTACTCTGGGAATTAGAAAATGTTTAGATAAAATTTGTTTAAACAATGTCTGCCAGAGAGGAATATAACTTGGAGCTCTTTTTTTTCTTAAGAGCTTGGATTTTAACTTTAATCAAAAGCAATCTTCTATTCTTATATAAATAGCTAATAATGAGCCTCACCATATCCTAGTACTCCAGGGGAAAAACACATGTAGCTTTTTTGTTCTAGTTTGACAACTTTAATTGGTCTTATAATGGTTCCTAATTAAACACCTTGTAATAATATTTTTATTACTGTAAATCATAGTGTTAATACTTGTGTTACGTGCATACATACATATAATGACTTTCAAGTAATTTTGTTTCCCTGCCAAGACTTTCCTTCATTCCCTCAAGACAGCTGTAGACAAGTTAAGGTAAATTGCAATGTCATAAGCTCAAAGAAAAGTAACATGCCTGCATCTCTTCAGGAAGCACAGATTTTATTCATCCTGGCTTTCATAGCTTGGGTGGCCCAGGCTCAGGGATTCTCATATATGAAGAATCAAACATGGACAGTGGATCCATCAGCTGCAGCAAACTCAGAGTAGAGACTTTTGCCTCCAAGAGCTGTGAGACTGGAAGATGCAGGGCTGTCCGTTTAATGGCTGAAATTATTCCAGGAGCACAACAGAAGACAGGTGCAGAATGGCTGCCTACACATATTCATAAAATCTTACTATACCAAGTGTGTATATATATATATATATATATATATATATATATATATATGTACTACTTAATTGCCTCTAAGATTTGATCCAATCTGTGGAAAATTCCTACTGGCTTCAGATGGGTGTTTTAGGACACCTGTAGCTCCATTATACATTAGATCTTCTCATAAAAAATTCCATGTCGCAATCTGTACTGATGTGATGAGTTTCCAGTTCTTTTCGTTATGCTTTTTAGGGAGAAAATAACTGCTGAAACCCTGGATTCTAGAGTTGCCTAAGGCACTGTCTGTACAGTAGTTTTTTTTATCAGATAGGTGGTATGCAATGGGGGTGATGCTCCAGGGCTCTGAGCCCTAACTCGATGAAAATAAAGAGAGGTGTTTTTGTTGACTTACATGGATTTGGATGATTCCTAGTGCCTCTCTTAAGTCTGAACAGAGCTAAGACAGCAGAGGTCAGGTGATCAAGGTTAATTTACAGAATATCTAAGAGTAGCAAAAGTAGCAGAAAAACAAAGATATCACAATAATCCCACAGATAAAGCTTTACCAGACTTCTGCAGCATAGCTGTGGTCTTATATACTGGCAGAATACCATACCTCAAATGTTGGGTTTGAATGGAGTAGTTGCCCCTAGGTATTTCAACCTTAGAGGTAATTACTCCTTCAGGTAATAGATATTTATTCATATATTAATCCAAAGTAACTCTTTGTGTTCTGCTCTGAAATACCTTAGGAGGTAAGTGGTAGAAGACAGATGGTTCCCTGACACTGGTTTTGGGTTCCAGTGACTTTAACTAAATTATCTGATACTTTTTGACCCCTAGCTTGAGGCTTTTAATATTACTGGAAAAGACTCTAATAATGAGCTTCACAGGGTATCATTGTTCTGCTTGGATATACGAAGGTCTGAAATAATAGCATCAGTTTTCACATAAGCAGACCTGCCCTTGAGTTAAGGTAACCAAAAGCAAAGGACATCTTAGCCTTTAGTGTCTCCGTGATGCATTTTTAATGGAAAATATTATCTGTTTAAATGCAGACATAAATAACTTTTCTCCAGCCTGCCTGACATTTAACGTGTAACTCAGAAGGTTCCTCTGATACAAAAAAGACTGGCAGATGGAGAAACAGCAGGTGGAACCTCAGATGAGACAGCCAGGAGGTAGCAAACTAGGTCAGATGAGATTTCTTCCATGTTGGAATCAATGCTTTCACAAATGCTTCCTCCAGTGGATGCATAAAAGTGGTTTTGGGGCATTTTCCATTAATATTCACATCTCTGAATAGGTCAGACTCTATCAGCAACTGATAGAGTTGCTGATATTTTTGTGGGAAAGGCAGAAATGTCTGAGATTACAAGGTGCTTTTTTCAGCATAGGAGAACTCTTTACAAGAGGCCAAAGCATCTATGCATTTCTTATTGAGATTTAACAAGGAGAATGTTTTTAGGAAAAGGCAATTGCTGGGATACCTCAACTTCTTTCCTTTTTCTTTCTACTCACCCCTCTCACATTTATTTCTTTCTCTCCACTAATTGCTAAATTTTCAAAGGGTTAGCTCTTACCCTGTACCCACTGCTACGAGTGTCCATTTCATTGCAAAATTTTACTCCAGATGTGTCTAGTACATTGTGATGAGGCTGCAAGCATGCCTGGAGAGCTGGGGTTTTTAGTCTTTGATCTTCCCTCTAAAAAGAGGGAGACGGCTCATCTCCTCCTTGGTGTGCTCCGTCACTGTAGCCAAGGCATTGCCCGTGAAGTGGAGAGGCACAGTGCCTGTTCAAGGAGAGCCGAGGAAGAGGTTGGAGAAGCAAAGCAGACATGAGAGCCATGCTGAGAATTGGCTGGCATTCATTCCGCCTCCCTCCCCTGGGCACTGCTTCTGGTGTCAGAGGCTAATGATAGAAAATAGCCCATGGCTTTACAGTTCTGCCAGGGACTGGCACCTCGAGGAGCCAGGTAAATTCAGAGGCTCTCCATGAGGCAGAATTCCTGTGCTGTTTGAGGAGAATTGGCTTTTATCTTGAATTCCCTTTTCTATTTTTCTGCCACCAGAAGTCCTCTATACCAAGAAAATAAAAGCAATTGATCAAGTAGTATACTAGATTAATAAATAAAAAACTAAGTATGAAAGCTGATTTTATCAGTCTCCTGCATACAAGAGGGGACTGCACAATGCCCTTGGGACTGTATCCTCTGTTGTTTGTTCAGGTGTTTT